CCCCTTAGCACGGTGAGTTGGGGGGCGGGCGGGGGGCACCAACGATGTCATTTAGGACACTTAAAGACAAATGTGTGAGGCCTTTTGGTGGTATATGGCAAACTTGTGACGCAAGGCGGCGACGGTACGTGCGCATGTTGAACTTCTTTCGCGCCGTACGCGGCCGACCGCGCTAACCGGAGGTGCGTGGGGAAGAACAAGAAACCAACGCGCAAAAAAGCAGTTGTAAAGAAACGAGTTTGTCAACCGAGATGATGATTCTAAATGTGCAAATAGCTCCAGTGGCTTCCTCATATCGCGAGGAAGAGCGTTCCAGACGGCCGCAGAAGGCGCATCTGAAAGTGCCGAGCGATGCGGTGGCCACCGCCCTTGTCGGTTGCCCGTCGGTTGCCCGGAGACACCTGAACGCTGCTCACGGCCGACGCGTATTTCCCTTCTATGTGACTTTACCGAAAGAACCAAGAAGATCAATCCCTGCAGTCACGAAAGCTTTAAATCGACGCGTAGCGTTCTGTCGGCGTTCCGCACGCTCGGTCAGCGGCGCGTCACCCTTCTTAGGGGTCTAGCGGGGGGTGACTTTCATCACAAACGTCACCCGCAAATGTCCCGCCTTGACAAAGAAGGCACCTCTTCATCCATCTTCAATCGGACGTTCCCCCCTCGCCTCATCTCCCCCCACGCTCACCGCCCCCCACGCTCACCGCCCCCCACGCTCACCGCGGTGGTGCCGCTCACGGATCGTCGCCGTGCTCGGCGATGCGACGGTCCGTGCCTATCCCAGAGGGAGGTCTGGCGAGGTGGGGGGGTGGGGGGGTAGGGGGGGGGGTGGGGGGGGTGGGGGGACGTGACAGACCGCGGCTGCACCTTGCGGAACGTTGGACAACGGCCTCCCCATTGATGGCCCAGCGACTAGTGTTACCATTGCCCCTAGGCGAGCATTGCCCATTAACTAGCATTGCCCATGGACTAACATTGCCCATGGGCTAGCATTGTACGTAGACCAACAATGTTAATTGAACCACGTTTCCCGTTGAACCACATTGCCCATAGACGAACATTGCCCCGTAGACTTACAGACTTGAATTCGCTCGTGGGCCTATCCATGAGGGGAGGCCTGGCTTAGTGAGCGGGGCGACACCTGCAGGAACATCTTCTTTGTTCTTTCGGTAAAGTCACGTAGAAGGGAAGTAATAAAATAATAACAAGTATAACCCGTAAAAACAAAGTTTTTCACTCTAAATCCTTTATATGCGTGGCGGCTAGAGTCCTCTCGTCCTCTGGCTTGAGATGGCTGCCACCTATGGGTCAGATGATTGTCTGCAGTATTAAACAATTGGTAATTAAATATAATATTTTTGTCCTATAAAGTGTAAAATTTTGGAAAAAAAATTTCACGAACATTAATTGTCACGCACAACGAGTCTGTGTGCAAAATGTCAACTCGATTGGATCATGGGAAGTGGGTTAAAAAACGACCGAAAGATTTACACGGTCGTAAGCAAGCAAGCACGCAAGCAAGCAAGCGAACTTAATATAAAGGATTTAAAAATAAAACGTCGTGAGAATTGTTTTATTATGTCTTATTTTTATTATTTTATTACTTCCCTTCCACGTGACTTTACCGAAAGAACCAAGAAGATGAATCCCTGCAGTCACGAAAGCTTTAAATCGAAACCTGGAGGAACACTCGAAACGGCCTCCCTGTTGATGGCCCAGCGGACCCACTGCTGCTGACACGAGAGGCGCTTGAGCAGACGTGGCTTGCGGGCTTGCAATCTCGCCACCTGGTGGATGGCCTTAGCAGTGCAAGAGGTTTTTTTAAAAAAAATCCCAGTTTTCACGGAGCACCTGGCCAAAATCGCCAGCAACGTACAGCACGATGGGAATTTGAATTGAGCGAGGTTACTACTATGAGAGCTTGATAATTGGTTATTATTTTATTCCGATATAACATTCCAATTTACTTTTTGTTTTACCAGGTAAGGCCCACTGAGCGGATGTAGCTCTTTTTCAGATGCGGCCTGGCCATCACAAATGACAGGTCAACGAGGTGGACATTTTTTAGCAGCCAAATATTCAACGCACGCGAATTCTAAATGCGGATGGGAAACCCGGAGGACCCGGACAAAATTCCACACGACCACGGGGAGAGAGAGAGACACCGCAAACTCCAAATATACAGCAGCAGCAGGCGTCAGGGCAGAGGTTGCAACCGGGTACCCGATACCCGGCTACCCGTACCCGGCTGGGTACAGGTACGGGTACCCGTTTGCGACCCTGGTGCGGTCGGGTACGGGTAGGCCGTGAGTCACTGGTGAGTAACCGTTTGTCACTCATTTCGGGTAGGGTACGGGTACGGGTAGGGAACGGGTACCCGTACCCGACCGGGTACGGGTACCCGTTTGCGACCCTGGTGCGGCTGGGTACGGGTAAGGAATCAAAACCCGTTTGCGACCTCTGCATCAGGGTCAGGATGGAGCCCACGACCTCCTGTGTACCCGGCGAGGGAGTTGACATATCTCCACCGCGGCGCCCCAGGAAAGCCGTTTGCTTTACCCAGGAAATTCGCAACGAGTCTCAAAACAGTTTTGCAGGAGGGTCCTGTCGCCTGTAGCCCCCTCGTCGTGGCTGCGGATCTCCCCAATGGCATCGAACCACCGAACACTGCAGCCAATCACGCGCAAGGATAGAAGAGAGAGGGGGGGGGGCGCTGCCGGGTAGTTTTGAACGATATTGCCGAGCGACGGCATCAATCCAAATTGTCGCGGTGTCATATTTTTTTTTCTTTCTTAGAATCGGGACAAAAAAAATCTGGGACACACGCGCGACACCTGTGGGACACGCATGACGGGGCCAGCTCTCGGGCACCGCGTCGCGCATACTCTTTTAACGGCTGGGAAAAACTCGCCTTCCGTGGGTCGGGGATAGGTAGCTTAGGTCGCTTGCGCGCGCAGGGTGCGGGCGATTCGACTGGTCGCGGCGGATGCGCGACGTAGCACCGTCACCGCTCCCTGGCGCACGTCGAAATCGCCCCCGGGCGCTGGCCGAGGTCACTCGAAGCGATCTCGGAGGGAACTCTGCGATGGTCGCCTTCCGTGCGCTGCACTGGGCCGGATAAGCCGACATGCTGTAATGTAGCTTTTGATAATACAACTTGATATACATTTTCTTGGTTCTTTCGGTAAAGTCACGTAGAAGGGAAATAATAAAATAATAAAAATAAAACATTATTATAATAAAAATAAAACATTATAAACATAATTATTTTATTATGTTTTTATTTTATTATTTCCCTTTTACGTGACTTTACCGAAAGAACCAAGAAGATGAATCCCTGCAGTCACGAAAGCTTTACATCGAAATTTAATATAAATAATTTTACTTATTTACTAATACTTTTAAGATTTTTTTTAACGGTTTGTCTGTTACTAAAGAGCTACTATTAGGTAACTATTCAGTCCAATTAAAATCTGGTCAAATCGACGACGTTTTCCAAATTGAATTTTTTTCAGGTCCCACAGCGTTAAGTGTCGTCTCCAACTCTGTGCCCTCTCGTGCCTCTATGAAGGCCTTGAAGTGGTGGGTCCATTGCCTGAACCGCTATGACGGCATTTCCTCGGAGCAGTAGATGCGTTGCTGAAAGGTGCCTCGCTAAGCGGAAAACGCGTTAAGGCAGGAAAATTCCCGGTGCTGAATCGCGTTGCGCGCCGTAAACTCAGCCTGAAGCCATCCCATGCGGGACAGAGAACCGAGATGAGGGCACGCCGCCACCACATACCGTATCACTCCGTGCGTTTCTACCCAGAATCGCCTTACCGCAACAGCCGTACAGCTCATCAAAGTACAGTAAAACCTTGGATTGCGAGCATAATTCGTTCTGGAAACGTGTTTGTAACCCAAAGCACTCGTATATCAGTTGTGATCACGTGACGCTCGGCAGACAAAGCGTGTACACGTACTACTCGTGTTGCAAGACCTCGCTCGTTTATCAAATTAATGTTTGTGTAAACATTTTGCTCGTCTTGCCAAACACTCGCAGACCAAGTTACTCGCAATCCAAGGTTTTACTGTAGTTTGTCTTAGACAGCTACAGAGACCGTGTTACAACGGTGCACGGTTTCCGAGTTATAACGGGGGGGGGATGCGCTCCGATTTGTGCCAAAAATGTTCCCAAACAGAAGGAACCGAGTCATCGCGAGAGCGCGTTTGTTCATCAAGCGAGGACTTGACCTGTACTTGATTTTTATTTGAAGGCCACGCAACGGGCGTCATGGCGTTGGCGTTTTCCGCAATTCACGGTTTCCTGTCCTCGGCAGATCCCCAGTCCCGTGGGGATGATCCCCAGTCCCGTCGGGATGATCCCCAGTCCCGTGGGGATGATCCCGCACATTCCCGGAATTCCGGGACCGCACATGTTCAGCCACGGGCTGCCGCCGCCTCCTCCGACACAACTGCCCTCGCCCTCCGAGTCCCGCATGGTACGTGCGCGCGTGCGGGCGCGTGCGTTGAGTGTCAACTCAAAACGCCCACCAACTACGCACCAACTGCTCATCAAATTGAGCCATTCACCTGCTCACCGGCTCGCCCCCCCCCCCCCATCTCCAACCCGCCCAGCCGCTCGCCCATTGACCCAACCACCTGCTCGCTTGGTCACCTCTTTGCCCACTCACTCACTCACCCACTCACCCACCTGTGAACCCGTCTGGTCTTCTGCCCGTCCAACACTCGTCCGTTAACTAACCCACCCTACCTAACTGTTCACTCGCTCACCTCATCCATCCACCCCACCCTCTCACTAACCCACCTCCCCTCCTGCTCACCTGCCACTCAACAATTGGCCCACAAACTCAACTCCTCACCCGCCAACCATTTTGCCCACTCACAAACCAACCCACACAACCACCCACTCGCCCACTCATCCACCCACTTACACCTCAACTCACTCACCCACTGCCCACCTACTCACCCGTCTTCTCACTCGCCTACCCACCACTCACCCGCTCACTTGCCCACCATTTGCCCACTCACAAACCCACCAACCCACCCACCCAGTCACCGACCCACTCTCACCCACCAACCCAGTCACCCACCCACCCAGTCACCGACCCACTCTCACCCACCAACCCACCCACTCTCACCCACCAACCCACCCACTCTCACCCACCCACTCTCACCCACCAACCCACCCACCCAGTCACCCACCCACTCTCACCCACCAACCCACCCACTCTCACCCACTCACTCTCACCAACCAACCCACCCACCCAGTCACCCACCCACTCTCACCCACCAACCCACCCACTCTCACCCACCCACTCTCACCCACCAACCCACCCACCCAGTCACCCACCCACTCTCACCCACCAACCCACCCACTCTCACCCACCAACCCACCAACTCTGTCACCCACCCACCAACCCACCAACCCACCCACCCAGTCACCGACCCACTCTCACCCACCAACCCACCCACCCAGTCACCCACCCACTCTCACCCACCAACCCACCCACTCTCACCCACCAACCCACCAACTCTGTCACCCACCCACCAACCCACCAACCCACCCACCCAGTCACCGACCCACTCTCACCCACCAACCCACCCACCCAGTCACCCACCCACTCTCACCCACCAACCCACCCACTCTCACCCACCAACCCACCAACTCTGTCACCCACCCACCAACCCACCAACCCACCCACCCAGTCACCGACCCACTCTCACCCACCAACCCACCCACCCAGTCACCCACCCACTCTCACCCACCAACCCACCCACTCTCACCCACCAACCCACCAACTCTGTCACCCACCCACCAACCCACCAACCCACCCACCCAGTCACCGACCCACTCTCACCCACCAACCCACCCACCCAGTCACCCACCCACTCTCACCCACCAACCCACCCACTCTCACCCACCAACCCACCAACTCTGTCACCCACCCACCAACCCACCAACCCACCCACCCAGTCACCGACCCACTCTCACCCACCAACCCACCCACCCAGTCACCCACCCACTCTCACCCACCAACCCACCCACTCTCACCCACCAACCCACCAACTCTGTCACCCACCCACCAACCCACCAACCCACCCACCCAGTCACCGACCCACTCTCACCCACCAACCCACCCACCCAGTCACCCACCCACTCTCACCCACCAACCCACCCACTCTCACCCACCAACCCACCAACTCTGTCACCCACCCACCAACCCACCAACCCACCCACCCAGTCACCGACCCACTCTCACCCACCAACCCACCCACCCAGTCACCCACCCACTCTCACCCACCAACCCACCCACTCTCACCCACCAACCCACCAACTCTGTCACCCACCCACCAACCCACCAACCCACCCACCCAGTCACCGACCCACTCTCACCCACCAACCCACCAACCCACCCACCCAGTCACCGACCCACTCTCACCCACCAACCCACCCACTCTCACCCACCAACCCTGTCACCCACCCACCAACCCACCCACCCAGTCACCCACCCACTCACTCACCCACCAACCCACCCACCCAGTCACCCACCCACTCTCACCCACCAACCCACCCACTCTCACCCACCCAGTCACCGACCCACTCTCACCCACCAACCCACCAACCCACCCACCCAGTCACCGACCCACTCTCACCCACCAACCCACCCACCCACCCACCCAGTCACCGACCCACTCTCACCCACCAACCCACCAACCCACCCACCCAGTCACCGACCCACTCTCACCCACCAACCCACCCACTCTCACCCACCAACCCTGTCACCCACCCACCAACCCACCCACCCAGTCACCCACCCACTCACTCACCCACCAACCCACCCACTCTCACCCACCCAGTCACCGACCCACTCTCACCCACCAACCCACCAACCCACCCACCCAGTCACCGACCCACTCTCACCCACCAGCCCACCAACCCACCCACCCAGTCACCGACCCACTCTCACCCACCAACCCACCCACTCTCACCCACCCAGTCACCGACCCACTCTCACCCACCAACCCACCAACCCACCCACCCAGTCACCGACCCACTCTCACCCACCAACCCACCCACTCTCACCCACCAACCCTGTCACCCACCCACCAACCCACCCACCCAGTCACCCACCCACTCTCACCCACCAACCCACCCACTCTCACCCACCAACCCTGTCACCCACCCACCAACCCACCCACCCAGTCACCCACCCACTCTCACCCACCAACCCACCAACCCACCCACCCAGTCACCGACCCACTCACAAACCCACCAGCCCACCAACCCACCCACCCAGTCACCGACCCACTCTCACCCACCCACCAACCCACCAACCCACCCACCCAGTCACCGACCCACTCTCACCCACCAACCCACCCACCCACCCAGTCACCCACCCACTCTCACCCACCAACCCACCAACCCACCCACCCAGTCACCGACCCACTCTCACCCACCAACCCACCCACTCTCACCCACCAACCCACCCACTCTTACCCACCAACCCACCCAACCCACCCACCCAGTCACCGACCCACTCTCACCCACCAACCCACCAACCCACCCACTCTCACCCACCCAGTCACCGACCCACTCTCACCCACCAACCCACCAACCCACCCACCCAGTCACCCACCCACTCTCACCCACCAACCCACCAACCCACCCACCCAGTCACCGACCCACTCTCACCCACCAACCCACCCACCCAGTCACCGACCCACTCTCACCCACCAACCCACCCACCCAGTCACCGACCCACTCTCACCCACCAACCCACCAACCCACCCACCCAGTCACCGACCCACTCTCACCCACCAACCCACCCACTCTCACCCACCCAGTCACCGACCCACTCTCACCCACCAACCCACCAACCCACCCACCCAGTCACCGACCCACTCTCACCCACCAACCCACCCACTCTCACCCACCCAGTCACCGACCCACTCTCACCCACCAACCCACCAACCCACCCACCCAGTCACCGACCCACTCTCACCCACCAACCCACCCACTCTCACCCACCCAGTCACCGACCCACTCTCACCCACCAACCCACCAACCCACCCACCCAGTCACCGACCCACTCTCACCCACCAACCCACCCACTCTCACCCACCCAGTCACCGACCCACTCTCACCCACCAACCCACCAACCCACCCACCCAGTCACCGACCCACTCTCACCCACCAACCCACCAACCCACCCACCCAGTCACCGACCCACTCTCACCCACCAGCCCACCAACCCACCCACCCAGTCACCGACCCACTCTCACCCACCAACCCACCCACTCTCACCCACCAACCCTGTCACCCACCCACCAACCCACCCACCCAGTCACCGACCCACTCTCACCCACCAACCCACCAACCCACCCACCCAGTCACCCACCCACTCTCACCCACCAACCCACCAACCCACCCACCCAGTCACCCACCCACTCTCACCCACCAACCCACCCACTCTCACCCACCAACCCTGTCACCCACCCACCAACCCACCCACCCAGTCACCCACCCACTCACTCACCCACCAACCCACCCACCCAGTCACCCACCCACTCTCACCCACCAACCCACCCACTCTCACCCACCCAGTCACCGACCCACTCTCACCCACCAACCCACCAACCCACCCACCCAGTCACCGACCCACTCTCACCCACCAAACCACCCACTCTCACCCACCAACCCTGTCACCCACCCACCAACCCACCCACCCAGTCACCCACCCACTCACTCACCCACCAACCCACCCACCCAGTCACCCACCCACTCACTCACCCACCAACCCACCAACTCTGTCACCCACCCACCAACCCACCAACCCACCCACCCAGTCACCGACCCACTCTCACCCACCAACCCACCAACCCACCCACCCAGTCACCGACCCACTCTCACCCACCAACCCACCAACCCACCCACCCAGTCACCGACCCACTCTCACCCACCAACCCACCCACTCTCACCCACCAACCCTGTCACCCACCCACCAACCCACCCACCCAGTCACCCACCCACTCACTCACCCACCAACCCACCCACCCAGTCACCCACCCACTCACTCACCCACCAACCCACCAACTCTGTCACCCACCCACCAACCCACCAACCCACCCACCCAGTCACCGACCCACTCTCACCCACCAACCCACCAACCCACCCACCCAGTCACCGACCCACTCTCACCCACCAACCCACCAACCCACCCACCCAGTCACCGACCCACTCTCACCCACCAACCCACCCACTCTCACCCACCAACCCTGTCACCCACCCACCAACCCACCCACCCAGTCACCCACCCACTCACTCACCCACCAACCCACCCACCCAGTCACCCACCCACTCACTCACCCACCAACCCACCAACTCTGTCACCCACCCACCAACCCACCCACCCAGTCACCCACCCACTCTCACCCCCCAACCCACCCACTCTTACCCACCAACCCACCCAACCCACCCACCCAGTCACCCACCCACCCACTCACTCACCCACCAACCCACCCACTCACTCACCAACCACCCACTCACCCACCCACCAACCCACCCACCCAGTCACCCACCCACCAAACCCCCCCAACCCACCCACGCCCGATCCATCACGGCAGTCGACGGTCGCCAACTCTCACCGCCGCATTCCTGCTCAACTCGCCCACCCACCAACACACCCGCCGCTCACCTGCCTGCTCGCCCGCCCGCTCCCCCGTCCACCCCCGTCCACCCTCGCTCTCTCGCAGCGACTGAAGCAGATCCTGGCGCAGCAGGCGAGCTCGCTGCACGAGCTGCACGGACTGGGCCTGGGCGGGGGGGGCGGCTGCGGAGGTGGCGCCCGCCCGGTATCGCGCGACAGTCTCCCCTCCCCCCACGAGCGCCAGCTCAAGGAGGAGAGCTCGTCACGACGCGTACGTCACACACACGCGCACGCACGCACACGCACGCACACACGCACACGCACGCACGAACGCGCACACACGCATACGCGCACGCACGCACGTGTACCGCGTATCATACACGCACGCTCCGCACAAAGACAAACATTCCCCACGTAGACTTGGCAGACCGTAGGCGCACGTGCTGTTATAGCGAGTAGCACCTATGAAGGCCTGCACGGCACACGACAGCCTTTGTCTCCCCAGTGGCGATGTTTACATACCGGGCTGAGTCGACCTAGAGGTGACCCAGGACCGGTCCAGATAATCATCACTGATGCCGACCGTGAGCGGGAATCGAACTCGGGTCACCGGACCGTAGCGCAGCACGCTAACCGCTGCACTACCGCCCCCCTACCGCAAATCGTATTCGCATGCACACACACGCACGTCCGCGTGCACGCACACACACGCACGTCCGCGTGCACGCACACACACGCGCAACACATTGTGCATGGCTGCATGCTACACACGTGGGGTACGTACACGTACGCCATGCACACGCACACCACCGCATGCGTACGCACACGGGCATACGCACGCGTATGCATGTACAATCGGCAGTCGGGATCCAGTTTTAGGTGCGTTGATGGCTTGAGCGCAGGGCGGACGAGCAGGGTGACTCTGTCCCCTCTTCCCTCAGGCCGAGTCGAGGCCCTGGGAGTCGCCTTACCACGAGATGAACGTCAAAATGGTGAGCGCTTCCCGCACTTGGATGCAGCTGAGAGTCTTGACAACTGCAGGGATGTGTGCGTGTATGCACGTGTGTGTGTGTGTGTCTAGGTGTGTGTGTGTGTGTGCACACCGCATTAACAGACTTTTGGGAGCGGTGGTGTAGTGGTTAGCGCGCTGCGCTATAAACCCGGCGACCCGAGTTCGATTCCCGCTCACAGCCAACACCAGTGACGATTATCTGAACCGGTCCCGGGCCTCCCCTAGGTCGACTCAGCCTAAAATGAGTACCTAGTGCGATGTGTAAACATCGCCGCTAGGGAGACAAAGGCGGCCGGGCGTGGTGCTGGCCACCCACCCCCTCGTGTGCCGTGCCGGCCTTCATAGGTGCTCGCTGACAGCACTTGCCCCTACAGTCTGTTAAGGCTACACGGGGGATCTTTGTCTTTGTTTGTGTGTGCACCTCCGTGTTTATGTGTCTAGGTGTGTGCGTCGTGGTGACGTCACCGCCACTTAGTGGCGAATGGCGGTCGTTGTTGTGTGTGTGAGGTACACGGTAGTGCAGCGGTTAGTACGCTGCGCTACGAAATTGGCGAGTGAGCGAGTGAGCGAGTGATACAACCTCTGAATCCGCTTCGGCACGCCAGTCTGTCCGGTAACCCTCGTGGACGCTTCTCCGGTGTTCCCGCATGCCAGCCGGCGCTCCAACCCCTAGCTCCGCTGAGACTAAAAACAAAAAAAACCTTCGCTCACAACTCGGCAGGAGTCTCCGATCGACGACGGTGGTCACGGTCCCCCCAGCTTCGGTGGCCTCACCAGCGCTAGCAGCGACGGCGGTGGCGGTGGCGGCGGCGGTGGCGGTGGCGGCGGTGGCGTCCGTCGGCGCCGCTCGTCGGTGGAGGACCCGGAGGAGCGCCGGCGGCGGTTCCTGGAGCGCAACCGGGCGGCCGCCACGCGGTGCCGCCTGAAGCGCAAGGCGTGGGTGCACTCGCTCGAGCGCAAGGCCGAGGACCTCGCCGACTCCAACGTGCAGCTGCAGGTACCGGCGCCGCTTTGCGGCCGGCCCGGTTACGCTCGTCGGCGGCGACGCGGTGCGGGGGGGGGCTTGCCGCAGCCGCCGCCGGCAGTGCCCCCCCCCCCCCGTTGGGCGGGGCACCCGATCGCGGCTCGGATTTTTCCCGGTGGTTTCGAAAAGAAAAAAATGAAACGCAAACCGACTCGATTGGGATCCACGCGGAGCAGTCGCCAGATACCGGAGTCAGTCTGCTTGTGGCACGCGGTGACGCCGGCCACTGGTGGGGGGGGGGGGGGGGGGGGCGGGGGGGGGGGTGCGCTTTACGAGGCGTCGAGAGATGCGGGTGACGCGGGGTCACGCGGGGCGACGCAGGATTATAGGGGTTCACGTGCGGCTCTACAGGGTGACACCGCTGTGATGTTGCGACAGGCCCCGTTCATGTTTCTTCCATCTATCCCCCCCCCCCTGTTCTACCCCCGCCCCCCCTCCCCCCCTTGTTCCACCCCCGCCCCCCGGTGTTGACGGCACGCAGGCGGAGGTGACGCTGCTGCGGAGCGAGGTGGCTCACCTGAAGCAGTTGCTGCTGGCGCACAAGGACTGTCCCATCACCGCCATGCAGATCAAGCAGGGCTACCTGCGTACGTAGCGCGGCACGCTCTCACAGCAGCGGTCATGGCGATGCCGGGCCCGTGGCGGCGGTGGTGTAGTGGCGGTGGTGTAGTAGCGGTGGTGTAGTAGCGGTGGTGTAGTAGCGGTGGTTTAGTAATGGTGGTGTAGTAGCGGTGGTGTAGTAGCGGTGGCGTAGTAGCGGTGGCGTAGTAGCGGTGGTGTAGTAGCGGTGGTGTAGTAGCGGTGGTGTAGTAGCGGTGGCGTAGTAGCGGTGGCGTAGTAGCGGTGGTGTAGTAGCGGTGGCGTAGTAGCGGTGGCGTAGTAGCGGTGGTGTAGTAGCGGTGGTGTAGTAGCGGTGGTGTAGTAGCGGTGGCGTAGTAGCGGTGGCGTAGTAGCGGTGGCGTAGTAGCGGTGGCGTAGTAGCGGTGGTGAGGAGCGGTGGTGTAGTAGCGGTGGTGTAGTAGCGGTGGCGTAGTAGCGGTGGCGTAGTAGCGGTGGCGTAGTAGCGGTGGCGTAGTAGCGGTGGCGTAGTAACGGTGGCGTAGTAGCGGTGGTGTAGTAGCGGTGGCGTAGTAGCGGTGGCGTAGTAGCGGTGGCGTAGTAGCGGTGGTGAGGAGCGGTGGTGTAGTAGCGGTGGTGTAGTAGCGGTGGTGTAGTAGCGGTGGTGAGGAGCGGTGGTGTAGTAGCGGTGGTGTAGTAGCGGTGGCGTAGTAGCGGTGGTGTAGTAGCGGTGGTGTAGTAGCGGTGGCGTAGTAGCGGTGGCGTAGTAGCGGTGGCGTAGTAGCGGTGGCGTAGTAGCGGTGGCGTAGTAGCGGTGGCGTAGTAGCGGTGGCGTAGTAGCGGTGGCGTAGTAGCGGTGGCGTAGTAACGGCGGCGTAGTAGCGGCGGCGTAGTAGCGGCGGCGTAGTAGCGGCGGCGTAGTAGCGGCGGCGTAGTAGCGGCGGCGTAGTAGCGGCGGCGTAGTAGCGGTGGCGTAGTAGCGGCGGCGTAGTAGCGGCGGCGTAGTAGCGGCGGCGTAGTAGCGGCGGCGTAGTAGCGGCGGCGTAGTAGCGGCGGCGTAGTAGCGGCGGCGTAGTAGCGGTGGCGTAGCGGTGGTGTAGTAGCGGTGGTGTAGGAGCGGTGGTGTAGTAGCGGTGGTGTAGTAGCGGTGGTGGAGGAGCGGTGGTGGAGGAGCGGTGGTGTAGTAGCGGTGGTGTAGTAGCGGTGGTGTAGTAGCGGTGGTGTAGTAGCGGTGGTGTAGTAGCGGTGGTGGAGGAGCGGTGGTGTAGTAGCGATGGTGTAGTAGCGGTGGTGTAGGAGCGGTGGTGTAGTAGCGGCGGTGTAGTAGCGGCGGTGTAGTAGCGGCGGTGTAGTAGCGGCGGTGTAGTAGCGGTGGTGAGGAGCGGCGGTGTAGTAGCGGTGAGCGCTACGCTGCGCAACGGATCCGGCGGCCCGAATTTAAATTCCCGCTCGCGACCAACACCGGTGACGATTATCTGAACCGGTCCTGGGCCTCCCCTAGGTCGACTCGGCCCCCAATGAGGAGTACCTGGTGCAGTGTGTAACCGTCGCCACTGGTGAGACAAAGGCGACTGGGCGTGGTGCTGACCACCCCCACTCCGCTCGTGCGCCGTGCCGGCCTTCATTGGTGCTACTCGCTAATGGCACTTGCCCCCAAAAGTCTGTTAATGCTACGCTGGGCATCTTTGTCTTGTACGGTGTGTATGCGAGTTTCTGTGCGTGGTTGGTGCGCATGTCTCGCGAATGCTATCCCCGTGCGCGCGTGTTCACTTTGCCTTTCCTGCGCGTGTGTGCGTGCGTGTGTGCGTGCGTGTGTGCGTGTGTGCGCCACCACCACCACCACCACAGGTGGCAGCGCTCCCAGCGATCCGGCAGCCAGCGCCCCCCTTCACGGACGCTCCGCCCCGCCGCCACCGGCACCGCCGGCACCACCGCGCCACCGCGCACCGCCAAGCCCCGACAGCGATTTCAACGACGGCGCAGCATCTCCCATCGCAGCAGCAGCAGCAGCCAGGCCGGCGGCGGCGGCGGCTGGAGCCAGCGGGGGCAGCAGTGGGCAGGGGTCACCGCTGGTCACCCAACAACAGCAGCAGCAGCAGCATGTCATCGTTGGTCCTCCTAGGGCACAGCCCGTGAGCAGATGAGCGAGCGAGAGAGAGCAGTGTGCAGTTGTTATCGTGGGGTTTTTTAAAAAGTATATATATATATACATACAGTACATTTATATACGTATATAAATAATAACGTGTAATTTTCTTCTTTTTAACGTGGTTATCATTTTATTTTTTCTATCGTCGGATGTTCTCCACCGCCTCCTGCGCCCTCCGGCCACGGTGAGAAGGCACCGGTCGAGGCGTCCACAGACGTGCCTGGTTTGTCCCACCGATCGTTTAGCCGACAACACAGATGCTGCCCAAAATGTGCCTGTTAAGTCGTGGCCTGTTACGGGACATCGCGTTGTGTAGGGAACGTGCAAGCTACCGAACAACAACAACAACAACAAATTACTTGCGCAAACACCAAGGGCAGATAAACAATCGACGGCGCTTTGCGTACAATTTCAACGGCAGCGGTCAACAAATCCCGGACAACCGCGTGCGAGCGGACCGCATTGCATGGCCTTGCGACGTGGCGGAGCCTGGCTATGGCTTTGGCAGCGAGAAGAGCGGCAGTGGTGAATCACACAGTGCTTGGCATTCTCCCTTGTGCCGTGTATATCCCATAGCTGTCAACCCCTCGTCACAGACCAATTCAGGCATTATCGGTCACCATGTGCATTTATAAATCTCAACGTTCATCCTACAAAGTCCCATCGCAAGGGAGAAACACAAAGAAATGTACAATTGTTCAAAATATATTTCCCTGCCCGTATTGAAACGGCTGTACGCCGTACGGCCACGAAAACTCAATTTCCCTACACAACCAGCGATGGGTTGACAGCTGTGATATGATACCGAGGTAGCAGCGTCGCCCGTTGTCACGCACGCCAAATGTTGACTGCATGTTCACGGCCACGTGGTTCCACGGACATTGACACCGGCAGCTCAAGGGACACCCGCTGCACCCTGACCTAGGTTGGCTCGGCCTAGGGTGAGCTACGTGGGCAGTCGCCACGCGTGTTTACGTGCGGTACGCGTTAGGCATGTTGCGTTAGGCGTGTGCGCTGGGCGTGCGCGTTACATACGTGTCGATCGCACGAAGTGCACTACTCGTGTACGCGACGTGCGCGCGTGACGTGCGCGCGTGACGTGCGCGCGTGACGTGTGCACGTTACCCGCGTGTACGTTAGACGTGCGCAGCGCATGTAAAGTAACAAACGCTTCGTTAGATTTTTTAATGTAGGTACATCTCCCACCAAATGCTGTCTTCCTATGCGTAAAAGCGAGATTTTGAACGAGGGATGAATTTTTTGTCGTTGCAATTTCTGCTCGCTCGTGACGTCACGCACGCACGCACTCACGCGTGCGTGTGTGTGTGTGCGTGTGTGTGTGTGCGTGCGTGGCGGCTGGGGGGTGCGGTGGGTTGGCGGTGTGAGCCCCCCCCCCCACTCCCCTCGCACGAGAGCTCCCCCCCCCCGCCGCCACCACCAATGCCTTCAGAATCAGAATCGGAATCTTTGTAGAGGCGTGTGTGCACTCGGAGAACATAAAGATTGTGTTGGGTTAGCTCGCGTAATTATGAATGTCTCATTAAACCCGGCCACCACCCGATACAGCCAATTAGTAGGATTTGTCACGTCAACAACACGTGCCAATAATGTTCAAGCAAGGTTTGTCACCTGAACAAAACATGGCGATAATGTTTTGTTTGTGTGATTAAACCTCACTAATCGGCTGTGCCCGATGGTGGCGGGGTTCAACGACACATTTATATATTCACTCGATCTAACCCCAAACAAAAAATCAACTTCTTCTGGATATTGGTCCTGAAAGCGCGACTTCTACTGCTACTACTACCATGTGTTAAAGCAACCCCCTGCGGTGGAGGTCTGCATCCATAATCCTCCCTTGTTGCACCTCCTCGGGTCTACCAAAGTACGGAGCGAAAGAAGTTCGGTGCGTGCGTACGTACGTGTGTGCGTACGTACGTGCGTGCGTACGTGCGTGCGTGCGTACGTGCGTGTGTGCATTATCACCGCGGCTTTTTCTTTTTAAATACCGCCGTGCACGAACACTTTTCATTCGGCTCGCCCTTTCCCCAAACGCGCACCGACTTGTCCGGGAGGTTTCGCCGGGAGCGGACAATGTCTTGTACAGTACCGACGCACCGGCCGACTTCTCTCCCGTCGCTGAACTCGAAGCGGGATTCCTCCTCTGCACGGCAAACCCTCCGGTGCCGTGGGGGCAGAGGTCGCAAATGGGTTTTGATTCCTTACCCGTACCCGGCCGCACCAGGGTCGCAAACGGGTACCCGTACCCTACCCCCGTACCCGGCCGAGTACGGGTATCGGGTACCTGATTGCGACCTCTGGGATGAAGCCATGTTGCAGGCGCGGGTGGGTTGATTCTAGGAACTTGAATTGTGAGAAGAGACAAGACGTTGGGAAATGAGTGACAAACGGTTACTCACCAGTGACTCACGGCTTACCCGTACCCGGCCGCACCAGGGTCGCAAACGGGTACCTGTACCCGTACCCGGCCGGGTACGGGTAGCCGGGTATCGGGTAGGGTACGGGTATCGGGTACCCGGTTGCGACCTCTGCGTGGGGGGTTGGCAGTGTAAGTCGCGGGTCACTGCGCCGCTGGGCTACGGACCTGCACAAGGAGCAACTTCGCGGTACCTGTAGAAGGCAGTCCAGGAGAGAAGAGAGTAGATTTCCGACAGGCGGTTCGTGCCACCCAGGGGTCAAACTCTTGCAGCTCCCTCTTGAGCCCGGTGGGGGTTCCCCCCCCGGGGCATCGCGAGGCAGGCGATTCCCGTCGTTACATTTCACCCGTTACATTTCACCCGTCCATCCGTCGCCACCGAATGTTTGCCTGGGCGCGCGGCCCATGTAGCCCGTGCATAACACGTGGCGTGCACGCAGGCGTTCGGCGCACATTGTGGATGCCCATGCAAGCAACCGTCCAGGCTGAAACCCGCTTAGCTTCTTGCGGTTGCTTTGGCCGTTTCATGCCTGCAGGGGGTCACCTCCGCATGCATTGCGTTTGTAAGAGTGACTGTTTTTTTATTCAGTATAAATACATTTAAACGTGTCCTTCGTTATTCACTGCCACGGGTTTGACTGTCTGCGTGCGTGTGTTTATTTGGCGGCCGAAATTGGGGGGGGGGGGGGGGGGGGCGCAGACCCCTGACCAATGCAGAGATCCGCAGAGCCCGCGGGAGTCGGGGGGGGGGGGGGTGTCGAGCTGATCAGCTTTTGAGAACCTCGTAGGCCCAGTTGACTCTCGATTTGAAGCTTTCGTGACTGCGGGGATTCATCTTCTTGGTGCTTTCGGTAAAGTCACGTAGAAGGGAAATAATAAAATAATAAAAATTAAACATTATAAAATACAATTTTCACGACGTTTCGGCCACAACGCAAGCAGCCGTCGTCAGGTGAAGAACACGGCTGTCAGAAAGACAGCGTCTGAATAAAGTGGTTCAATTGGTTCATTCAGACGCTGTCTTTCCGACAGACCTGTTCTTCACCTGAGGACGGCTGCTTGCGTTGTGGCCGAAACGTCGTGAGAATTGTATTTTATAATGTTTTATTATTTTATTATTTCCCTTCTACGTGACTTTACCGAAAGAACCAAGAAGATGAATCCCAGTTGACCCGTTCAGGTGAGTCACGTACGGGGGGGGGGGGGGGGGGGTTGCTTGTCGCTAACTGCTCTGCGTGCCGCCTACCCGACGAGACGTCCCCGGACATGAACCCCGCGCCCGGCACACTACAATCCACGCCAATACCTCTCAAACTCTTCCGGCCGTGCCCCGTGAGGTCGCGTGCCAGCGACGTGGCAATCCGGAGAATATCCACGGGGGTGGGGGGACCGCAAGCCCTGGTTTTATACATATATATACACACGCGAATATATTATATTGATGTTATTTTTGTAAGTAACATTTCTCGGAAGTTAGGGCATCCCCCGATTTTAAGTTTGCACGGAGCTGTTTTTTTAAATATCCTACGACAAACGCGTTTTTATTCATGATGTATAAGAAGAGTGGTTTAGCCGACTTCATGGCCTAGACTCAACAGTGTCGGACTTAATTTCGATTTAAAGCTTCTTTCGTGACTGCAGGGATTCATCTTCTTGGTTCTTTCGGTAAAGTCACGTAGAAGGGAAATAATAAAATAATAAAAATGAAACTTACTAAAATAATTCTCACGACGTTTCGGCCACAACGCAAGCAGCCGTCCTCAGGTGAAATACAGGTCTGTCGGAAAGACAGCATCATTCAGATGCGTCATTCAGACGCTGTCTTTCCGACAGACCTGTTCTTCACCTGAGGTATGGCTGCTTGCGTTGTGGCCGAAACGTCGTGAGAATTATTTAATACGTTTAATTTTTATTATTTCCCTTCTACGTGACTTTACCAAAAGAACCAAGATGAAGTGTCGGACTAGTTTCAAAGACGATGCATCGATTATCAGAGCACGTCTGTCTGCATGTTCGCAAGTATTGTGTGCTTAATGCAGCACTTGATTCATTGTTGTTTGAACTTCTTAACACGTATTATATCGCCGGAAAGGGAAAAAACTCATTGTTTTGCATACTTCGATCCTGGCAAAAAATGTATCCCATGATGTAGCTGCTCACCCGAGATGTAAGTGATTCGATGCGTGTGGCATTGCCATTGTACTGGTCGCCTTATGCCATTTTCTGGTCTGACACTGGTGAGACTGTCATCAAGAAGGCTGCTGTCTCTGTTGTAGGCCAATGAGTGTCTAAGGCCGCGTCTATTGTCAGAGTTTGCATGTTCAACACACGTCATGTGTGTGTGTGGTTGACGCAGTAATTTGATTCCTCGCAAAATGTTGCCGTTCGGTGTTTGAACATCGAAACACAACTCCCGTTTTATTGCCAGAAAGGGGTAAAAACCTACTGCTATTGTTCATAGAGACTGCCAAAAAGGTTTCCTCGTCCTCCCCCCCCCCCCCCCCATGATGCGTTTTTATTTCGAGTGCCTCCATCATCCGTCGTCTGCACGGCGACAGAAGCAGCAGCTTCTGTTGGGAGAGACGACAAATACTGACAGAGCTCTCCCTACCCCCGGATCGGGGAGCTCACGCCCTGTGTGTTCATCGTTGAATTGGATTGCGGCGACGGTGGTGGCTATGCATGCGCACGTGGCCTGCGATGCAGCAGATTTTGAGTTGGAGATGTTTGGTGGATAGCACTCGTGTTGTCGAAACTCCCTTCCCACGTGCGCGTCGAGGGTGTGCCGACATTATGCCCAGGCTCGACCGGGAGAAGGCAGCACTGCGAAAAATGTCGACTTCAACCGGTTCACGTCTCTACGGGATCGAGTGTTGCCCCCTCTCGCACGCGTGAGTTTTTCTTCAGGCGCTCGGCTTTCCTCCCGCGTGTGTACGGACAACCTATGAAATGGCTGATAACGTGCGCACCTCGAGGTCCGCCAGAGCTTGGGAAATTGTTGGTCGCATCGGCTCAACCACGTGACTGCTGCTGGTGTATATAAACGCATGTTTTGTTTTTACTAAACACAAAACAACAAAAAGGGATTTACTAAAAATTTATATATAATGGTTCGTACAAAGAGAAGCGGCCGAGTGAGATCTGGCGGAGCGGAGGGCGGCGTTGGGCGGTGACCTTTGGTGGCAGCGGCGACCTTTGACCCACGGTGAGATCTTGCGACCACGTGTGCGCACGTCCTGTTGAAATTTGAGATACGAATGTTGATGATGTCGTTGGTTAATTTGAAGCGCGTGTAAAGGCTTTTGCTGCGACCAATGTGACGGGCTGGTAATCGATGTGTCCCGGTAGGGGTAAGATGTGCGAGTTTGTACCGTATGTATGTTGAAGCTTCTTCCGCTGCACCCTAACTGGCCAACCGCGCGAGTGCAGTGATGTGCCTACGTGTGCCATGCAGCCCTCAGCCACCCGGCACGCGAACGAATTCACAAACAAGTACCGCTGCCAGAGGTCGCAAACGGGTTTTGCTTCCTTACCCGTACCCGTACCCGGCCGCACCAGGGTCGCAAACGGGTACCTGGCCGTACCCGTACCCTACCCGTAACCGATACCCGTACCCTACCCGTACCCGATACCTGTACCCTACCCGTACCCGATACCTGTACCCTACCCGTACCCAGCCGTACCTGTACCCTACCCGTACCCGGCCGGGTATCGGGTAGGGTACGGGTATCGGGTACCTGATTGCGACCTCTGGGATGAAGCCATGTTGCAGACGCGGGTGGGTTGATTCTAGGAACTTGAATTGTGAGAAGAGACAAGACGTTGGGAAATGAGTGACAAACAGTTAGTCACCAGTGACTCACGGCCTACCCGTACCCGGCCGCACCAGGGTCGCAAACGGGTACTCGTACCCGTACCCGGCCGGGTACGGGTAGGGTACGGGTATCGGGTACCCGGTTGCGACCTCTGACCGCTGCCGGGGCGATGGACAGACACTGCCAATGTATTAGGGATTCGGCACCACTGCAATGATGGCTCGCTATTCACACACACGCGCACGCGGAAAGATTAGGGTACAGGCATTTCGCTGGTAGTTGCAACCAGCATCATCAGGACAAACCTGGAGATCGCTTCATTGGTACCGGTTTGGAACTACCAGCGAAACCAAAGCGTTCAGTGTGTGTGTGTGTGCTTGTGTGTGCTTGTGTGCTTGTGTGTGTGTGTGCTTGTGTGTGTGTGTGCTTGTGTGTGTGTGTGCTTGTGTGTGTGTGTGTGCTTGTGTGTGTGTGCTTGTGTGTGTGTGTGCTTGTGTGTGTGTGCTTGTGTGTGTGTGTGCTTGTGTGTGTGTGTGCTTGTGTGTGTGTGTGCTTGTGTGTGTGTGTGCTTGTGTGTGTGTGTGCTTGTGTGTGTTGTGCTTGTGTGTGTGTGTGCTTGTGTGTGTGTGCTTGTGTGCTGTGTGTGTGTGTGTGTGCTTGTGTGTGTTGCTTGTGTTGTGTGTGGTGTTGTGTGCTTGTGTGTGTGTGTGCTTGTGTGTGTGTGTGCTTGTGGTGGGTGTGCTTGTGTTGTGTGTGCTTGTGTGTGTGGTGCTTGTGTGGGTGTGTGCTTGTGTGTGTGTTGCTTGTGTGTGTGTGCTTGTGTGTGTGTGTGCCTTGTGTGTGTGTGTGCTTGTGTGTGTGTGCTTGTGTGTGTGTGTGCTTGTGGTGTGTGTGCTTGTGTTGTTGCTTGTGTGTGTGTGGCTTGTGTGTGTGCTTTGTGTGTGTGTGTGCGTGTGTGTGTGTGCTTGTGTGGTGTGTCTTGTGTGTGTGTGTGCTTGTGTTGTTGTGTGTGGTGTGCTTGTGTGGGGGTCGTGTGTGCTGTGTGTGTGTGTGCTTGTGTGTGTGTGGTGCTTGTGTGTGTGTGTGCTTGTGTGTGTGTGTGCTTGTGTGTGTGTGTGCTTGTGTGTGTGGGCTTGTGGTGTGTGTGTGCTTGTGTGTGTGTGTGCTTGTGTGTGTGTGTGTGCTTGTGTGTGTGTGCTTGTGTGTGTTGTGTGTGTGTGGTGTGAGATTGTGTGTGTGTGCTTGTGTGTGTGTGTGTGATTGTGTGTGTGTGTGTTGTGTGTGTGTGTGTGCTTGTGTGTGTGTGTGTGTTGTGGGTGTGTGCTTGTGTGTGTGATTGTGTGTGCTTGTGTGTGCTTGTGTGATTGTGTGTGTGTGTGTGTGTGCGTGTGCTTGTGTGTGTGTGTGTGTGTGTTGTGATTGTGTTGTGGTGTGTGATTGTGTGGTGTGTGCTTGTGGTGTGTGTGCTTGTGTGTGTGTGTTGTGTGATTGTGTGTGTGTGTTGTGTGTGAGTGTGTGCTTGTGTGTGTGTGCTTGTGTGTGTGTGTGATTGTGGTGTGTGTGTGCTTGTGTGTGTGTGTGCTTGTGTGTGTGTGCTTGTGTGGTGTGTGATTGTGTGTGTGTGTGTTGTGTGTGGTGTGTGTGTGTTGTGTGTGTGTGTGTGTGCTTGTGTGCTTGTGTGTGTGTGCTGTGTGTGTGTGGCTTGTGTGTGTGCTTGTGTGTGTGTGTGCTTGTGTGTGTGTGTGCTTGTGTGTGTGTGTGCTTGTGTGTGTGTGTGCTTGTGTGTGTGTGTGCTTGTGTGTGTGTGTGCTTGTGTGTGTGTGTGCTTGTGTGTGTGTGTGCTTGTGTGTGTGTGTGC